GCCATATATGACAAACCCACTGCTGATACCATCCCAAATGGGGAAAAGCTGAAAGCTTTTGCCTTAAGAACAGGAACAAGACAAGTATGCCCACTCTCACGACACCTATTTAACATAGTAATGCAGGTACTAGCAGTAACAATTAGGCAAGAGAAAGAAATAAAGGGCATTCAGATTAGAAAAGACAAAGTCAAACTGTCTGTGTTTGCAAATGACATGATCCTATATATAGAAAAACCTAAAGACTCTACCAGAAAACTCTTACAGCTGATAAACAATTTCAGTAAAGTTGCTGAATACAAAATCAACACACAAAAGTCAGTAGTTTGTATACTCCAATAATGAACTATTAGAAAAAAAAAATCAAGAAAGCAAGTCCATTCACAACAGTTACCAAAACAAACAAACAAACAAACAAACAAACAAACAAACAAAAAACCCCAGATAAACTCCAAAATATCTAGGAATCAATTTAACCAAGGAGGTGAAAGATCCCTACAATGAGAACTGCGAATCACTGCTGAAAGAAACCAAAGACCACACAAAAAGATGGGAAGATATTCCATGCTCTTGGATTGGAAGAATAAACACTGTGAAAATATCTGTGCCACCCAAAGTGATCTACAGATTCAGTGTGATCCCCATCATAATAACAATGATATTCTCCACAGAAATAGAAAAAACAATCCCAACATTTATATGAAACAACAAAAGACCCCCAATAGCTAAAACAATCATGAATGAAAAAAATAAAGCCAGATGCATAGCACTACCTCACTTCAAATTATACTACAAAGCTGTAATAACCAAAACAGCATAAAAACAGACAATCATACCAATGGAACAGAATAGGAAACCCAGAAATCAAACCACATAGTTACAGCCAACTGATCTTCAACAAAGGCAACAAGACCATACACTGTGGAAAGGACAGCCTCTTCGATAAATGGCGTTGGAAAAACTGGACATCCGTATGTAGAAGAATGAAACTAGACCTGTACCTCTCACCATATACCAAAATCAACACAATATGGATTAAAGACTTAAATATAAGAACTGAAACTATAAAATTCCTAAAAGAAAACATAGGGGGAACACTTCAGGATGCAGGACTGGGCAAAGACGTTATGAATAAGACCCCCAAAGCACAGGCAACAAACGAAAAAATAAGCAAATGGGATTATGTGAAAATTAAAAGCTTCTGCACAGCAAAAGAAACAACAGAGTGAAAGGATAGCCTACAGAATTGGAGAAAATATTTGCAAACTATGCATCTGAGAAGGGATTAATGTCAAGAATCAAGAATGCACAAGGCACTCAAACAACTTAAAATTTGGTATTTTGAAGTCAATAGATGTTTAAGTTGCTTGAGTTCCTTGTATATTCTTTTAGGAAAAAAAGAGGAAACTTAAAAAAAAAATAGGCAAAGGAGCTGAATAGGCATTTCTCAAAGGAAGACATACAAGTGGCCAACAGATACATGAGAAAATGCTCAACATCACTAAGCATCGGGAAAATGCAAATCAAAACCACACTGAGATATCATCACATGCCAGTTAGACTGGCCATTATCAAAAAGACAGAGAATAACAAATGCTGGTGAGGATTAGAGAAAGGGGAACCCTCCTTCACTCTTGGTGGGACTATAAATTAATGCAGCCATTATGGAAAGCAGTATGTAGTTCCCTCAAACAATGACAGAGAGATCTGCTGTATCACCCAGCAATCCTATTCCTATACCCAAAAGGAACGGAAATCATTATATCAAAGAAATATCTGCACTCCCATGTTTATTGCAGCTCTATTTACAATAGCCAAGAGTTTGAATCAACCTAAATGTCCACTGACATATGACTGGATAAGGAAAATGTGGTATATATACAGAATGGGATACTACTCAGCCATAAAAAGGAATGAAATACTTCCATTTGCAGCAACATGGATGAACTTAGAGAAAATTAGGTTAAATCAAATAAGCCAGGAACAGAAATAAAAATACTGCATGTTCTCACTCATAAATGGGAGTTAACAAACAAACAAACAAATATAAATAAATAAGTAAAGAAAGAAAGAAAGAAAGAAAGAAAGAAAGAAAGAAAGAAAGAAAGAAAGAAAGAAAGAAAGAAACTATAATCACAATAATTTGTTGAACTTTCAAAAGGAGAAAATGGAACTGAGGCCACCAGTGGAAGGAAAGGAGTAGGGGCAGGAGGGTTAGTGAGAAAATGGTAAAGGGCCACAAAAAATAATTACATTGTGTGATGATGAATATAGTAATTATCTTGATTTGAGCATCACATATTGTACACAGGTATTGATATTCAATGCTGTACCCCACAGATATGTAAATCAATTATGTTTCAAAATATATATATATAGAAACCCTTATGCATGTGAATGAATATAAATCTAGCTCTAAACAAAAAAAATAAATAAAACGAAAAAAACAAAAATTCAAACAGCAAAGAAAGAAAAAAAAAAAAACAAAAAAAACCTAAAAAAGGTCTTGCTGAAGTACTGCCACCTGGTGTCCAGATAAAATATTCTGTGATATTTAAACTGGCCTCCCTGCTGCCCTCTAATGTTCATAGGTTAAATTGTAGCGAAACCTAGT